TCGAAAGACATTATAACGGCAGATGGGCTACTAAACGCCCCGGGCCAAAGCAATGCCATTCAGAGAATGAAGAAAACATGGAAGCCTCATACGACACCGCCACTGAAGATGATCTACTCGGCAAGTCTGAGGATAACGAACAAATCCCTCTGTACCAAATGCCTAGCAGAACATGCCCAGAATCCCTACAATATAGGGCGAGGGCCAAAATAAGAGCAGACGAGGATTTCAAAAATGAGATAAAGCAAATCCTTAACAACGCGGAGCAAGAAACAGTAAAGGCGATCATGTGCTTCTATGAACGTGAAATCGGTCGTTTTAATACCGAAATAAAGAAAAGAAAACGAGCCAAAACGGCTGGAACACTGAACACTAAGAACTGTAGTACGATCGAATCAGCGCGCGTGGCGCAAGCTGAAAGCAATCAAGACAACTTAACGATCGAGACAGTCAAAAAAATAGCTGTACATCTACAAAGGCGAACGATTCGAAAAAGACGCAATCCCTGATGTGCGTACTCAGTGCCACACATAAAGCAAATTCTCATGAAAAACTGGCATTTAATAGAAACACAACCACTACTGAGCGAACTATACAAAAATCCGCCGCTCGTATCTTACAAAAGAGGGCGGTCGCTCAAAGACATACTCGTGAGGGCTAAACTTTGAATAGGCTACTCTAAACACACGCTTGGGAGTCGTGTAGGCCTGTCAACCCCATTTTACGCCACCATCTTCCTCTTCGCTACTGGAGACAACTTCGCTTCGTTCAGAAGAAGATTCACTTGACAAAACTTCAATATCTGCCATCTCCTTCGCCCACGAATACAAACAAACAGTGAGTGAAATAAACCACGCTATCGGAGTAAACACAACCAGTGACGTCATCAATCCATTTCGCTCAGTACCAGAGCCCGGACATGGTTTTGTGTAAAATTTTTGATTTGAACGGTTAAAAAAGATATCTTTCGCTTCTTTTTGGCCAAAGCAAACTATCTCATGATGATTAGCATATTCAAAACTACAAGTTAGAGCGAAAATCTCAGATACGAAAATCTCGTTTCAGTAGCACTTTAACTCTTTACGGGGGCCAGTTTACAATTTCAAAGTAGTTGGTAAAACCAAATTAGAGCTACCTCAGTTTAATTTGGAGGGTTGGAGGCTATACAACATGAAATTTTCGTTAATAGTTTTCCAAGTTTTAGGAGCTTGGAATTTAGTACTAAGGAGACCATAATTATGAAGGAGGGTATGGTATAAAATATTACCTGGAGTTTGACATTGATCAGACTTTGCTGTTCAATTATTTTGGAAGACTTCATGTACTCTTTCCTTTAGGATTTTGATTACACAAGGCATAAAGGCATGATTACATTTTTAATAACAGAAATTCCCTCTTCTATCTTAGATTAAAAGCAGACTTCAAAACAAAAATGAAAATGGCAGATAATTACTGGACTTTTCTACCAGAAATGTTATGTAGTGACATAGCAGGTGACAAAGACGAGCCCTCACAGTGTTGGAATGGTACTGGCAAAGGAAGGTAAGTATTTCATCTTATTTTGTTGCCTTCTTATCATCTCACATAAATTATCAGCAAAGGAGTAGTTGCAGTAGGAGTGCAGGAAAAAAAAAAAGGCAGCAGACAAGATGTTCAGATAAAGAGTTCAAATGTTGTGATTGGCAATTAAATTGTAACTTTTCCCTATAATGTCCATGTGTGATACAGCAAACAGGTAGGTAGAAGTTGTTATCCTGATCTAACACCAAATTCTTGTAACTATTTATAAGGAAATGTGTTGCAGCTACAGGGGAGAATTTACAATCAGAATCTTACAAACCAAAATGTTAACCAACAAAGAATGAAATTTCTGTTTTTTTTTTTTAAAGTTACTCACACCCAGTTGATGGAAGAAATGCTGTTGAGGAAAACCCAACACCATCTGTGGTAAAAGCAATTGAGAAATTGAAAAGCATAGAGAAAATGATAGAGGAATATTCCAATGCTGCAGTGTATGGGGATGACATAAATATTATCACCACAGATGATGAGGATGATGAGGATGAATCAGGAAGTGGGAGTGGTGATGGTAGTGGTGGCAGTGCAAGTGGATCCAATGAAATACCAATTAGCACAGATGCACCAACCCCAGACCCCATCAATGGCATTGGTGACCCTGACAATGATGATATGATTGGGGGAGGGGTTGGGGTTGGGGAAAACCCTCAAGCAGGATCAAGGAACTCTGCTTCACAAACTGTACTTGGAGCTTGGTTCTTCTATTCAGCTATTTTATTGTTGTGTTCTTCACTTGTACCATAATGGTATTCAGGAATGGGATTCCTTTCACTGTCAATAACACAAACAACACTTTAACAGTACAGAGTGGATTGTCTGCACATTGTCTTTGAAAAGAGTATTTAGTTTTGATACAGATCATCAAGACATTTCATCTATGTTATTCTGTGCAGAAATTTCAATTAAGCCACAATCTCAAACTGCTTTAGAGACAAGCTAGACCATGAATGAAAAAGATCAAACTTTTTATTTGTGAATATGGGAATTTATTTTTACAAAAAGTTACTGGAATGAATGTAAATTAATTGACATGTAAAGTTTTGACTTTGTGCAACCATGTGGAAAATAAGTAGTTCTTTTTTCACCTCAAATTCCTTCTCAAAATATTCTTTGCTTTGTAACAGTTATCATAAGTTCTCGCAGATAGTCTAGGGTATTAAGACTTGACAGAAATTGTACATAAAGTCAACCTCACTTTTTCTGGCACTTTGGTGCTCAGTGATAATAGGAGTTAGTTGGCAAAGCTTTCAGTGTCATCTCGAAAGGATTTATTAAGATTTTGTATCAGAAGGAGCTTTGTGCTCAGACTTTTTTTTAAAACTACCTAATTGGACATAGTGTGCAGAACACTGTCTAATACTTTTTGGAGCTGTTTAGGACACTGGTGGAACTTAAAATGTCATTAAGTTTGCTAAGAGAGGAATTGCTCCAAATTTAAGTTAAGTAACTATAACCAGAATATAGAATAAGAGTAGTTTGTAAATCTATGTTAAAGGGACTCAGAGTTAAGTGCAAGTAATTCTAGGACTGGCAGTGCAGTGGGGTGGAGTGGTTGGTTGTT